GGCCTGTTCCCAGGGTTGAGCCCATGCGGGGCGGGGGGGTGGGGGTGGAAAGCGAAATTGAGAGGAATCCTGTCTGGGTCACCTACACTGGGGAAAGGGTTAAAGGGGTGCTCAAGTTGTGTAACTACGAGGATGACAGGGCCTTTCCTAGAAAGAGAGGCAGCAGGAGGAAGAGCTGACAAGCGTGGTTATGGACCCTGGTGATTGTGACACGGCCGAACGGCTGATGCAGGAGGAGACGGAGCTCAGGGACTCGAGAGACTCGTGAGAAATTCATTGTCAGGGAAAGACCAGGCCTGGAGAGAGTGGCCCAGGGCCACTAGGTCCTCAGGCCCCTCCCCCCACTCTGCACCGATCCGGACCTCAGGCCCACAAGGGCCACCCCGGCCAGCACAGTTCTCGGGTCTGGCAACCATCCCCACCTTTCTCCACCTCCAACATCGCCTCTAGGCCGGACCCTTGTCATCTCCCCCACTGAGTGACTCGGTTCCCCTGCCACCTTCCACTCTGCTCCCTTTCACTGTACCTTCTGACAGCAACTGAGCGAGCTCTTCAAAAAGAAAGTCAGGGCTTCCCTGGTGGCGCAGTGGTTGAGAGTCCACCTGCCGATGCAGGGGACACGGGTTCGCGCCCGGGTCCGCGAAGATCCCACATGCCGCGGAGCGGCTGGGCCCGTGAGCCATGGCCACTGAGCCTGCGCGTCCGGAGCCCGTGCTCCGCAACGGGAGACGCCACAACAGTGAGAAGCCCGCGTACCGCAAAAAAAAAAAGGGAAGTCAGAACACATGCTTCCCCACTTTAAAACCCACCAGCAGTTTTCCACCTCCTCTCCGTGGCCTGGCGCCTGCACACCTTGCTGACCCCTTCTCTGGCTAGAGACTTCGAGATCTCCTGGCAACTCCTAGAACGTGCCCTACTCGTGCCTGCCCCAGGGCGCTGGTGCTACGCCCCCCCAGACAGTCTGCACTGCTGTCTCCCTCATCTGTCTGTTCCCTGCTCAAGCGTCGCCCTCAGAGAAGGGGCCTTCCCCGACCACCCTGTCTACAGTAAGACCATCTTCCTTTCCCGCGACAGTTAACGGCTTGCATGTCAAGTGTTTTGATTTCCGGTTTGGTGTCTGTTGGCTGCTCCTCTATGTTGGCAGGGTGCCATCTGTCTTGTTCTCTGCCGTCCGCACCCTGTCCAGCATGTGCAGTAAGTATCTGCTGGAGAAAGTCAGTGAAAGAGCAGGGCCTTGTTTACTGCAGCTTCCTAGTGCCCAGTCCCTGCGCTTGTTCATCTTCACTGGAGCACAAAGCACATATAATAAGTATCCAACAAGGGAAGACAGGGAACATTTACCAGTCGCTCCCAGATGTGGACGGCCATGTTCTAGCAGCTATGAGGGGTGCCCGGCTGAATGTGGGAAGGAAACACCTTCCATCTGCCAGGCCCTGGAGAATGTTAACATTTGTCATCTTGTTGTATATCAATGAATCTTCACACAGATGAGAAGCCTGATCTGTGAGACCATTGACTTGCCCAAGTTCTCAGACCAAGGATGGGCCAAGCCGTGACTGGAACCCAGACCTTTCTGTTGCCAGAGCCCCTGCACTTTCCATAAGCCTAAGTAGGAAGAAATGAAGTCAGGAACAGGACTCCGGGCATGGATGCAGGGTGGTGTCCGGGCACAGAGGAAAGGGTGATTTTATTTTCTTATTTATTATTTAAAAATTTTTCATTTTGAAATCATTTCAGAGTTGCAAAGTTCGTACAAAGAATTCCCATGTACCCCTCACCCAGATCCCCTGAACGTTAACATCTTTCATAGCCATGGTACAGTTATCAAAACCAAGAAATCAACGTCCATACAAACTAGTAACCACTCTCTAGACTTTACTGAAATTTTGCACACTGTCCCCCTAACATTCTTTTTCTGGTCTGGAGTCCAATCCAGGGTATTTAGGTTGTTCCAACCCATCCCCTCTGGCTGGGCGTCTCTGCTGTGCCAAGTCTTTGTTAGTTCGGCAGCACAGCAGGGAGAAAGAAGAGAATCAGCAGCTCCCACTAGCTCTCATCCCCCCTCCGGGTGTTTGGTACCTCTCACTTGCCTGTTCTTGGTGTCCCTTCCCCAGATTCTCACACGGCCTTTCCCTCACTTCTTGGAAATGTCACCTCCTCAAAGAGGCCTTCCGTGACTGACTACCAGTTCTCCTCAAAGAGGCCTTCCGTGACTGACTACCAGTTCTAGAATAGCAGCTCCTGTCCTCATTCTCTGTCCTTTTGCCTTGTTTATTTCGTCATCTTCACTTGACAGTATGTTTATTGTCCTGTCTGTCCCACTAGAATATAAGCTTCAAGAAGGCAGGGACTCTGCCTTACTCACTGTGTGCCCAGAGCAGGCTAATAGCAAGGCCTCACTAAATATTGTGGAATGAGTGAAAGTAGGAAGTGGCTGAAATGGGTTTAAAAATAAAAACAGGGTCTATGAAAAAAACAGACATAAAGACACATAAAGGATGGCAAGGGGCTTCCCCGGTGGCACAGTGGTTAAGAATCCGCCTGCCAATGCGGGGACACAGGTTTGAACCCTGGTCTGGGAAGATCCCACATGCCACGGAGCAACTAAGCCCGTGCGCCACAACTACTGAGCCTGTGCGTCACAACTACTAAAGCCCGCGCACCTAGAGCCCGTGCTCCGCAACAAGAGAAGCCACCGCGATGAGAAGCCCGTGCACCGCAACGAAGAGTAGCCCCCGCTCACCGCAAGTAAAAGAAAGCCCACGTGCAGCAACGAGGCCCCAACGCAGCCAAAACTAAATAAATTAATTAATTTTTTTTAAAAAAGGATGACAAAACCCCTCCACAGCGCGTCTAGATTCCCAATGGATACAAGGGCATGGGCACACAGAGCCGGGACAGCCATGATTCACCTTCAGCTAAATTGTTTCGACCAAACTGTCATGGAAACATGCTTGGTTTCGATCAAATTGTTTGCAGACAGATCAGCTTGCTCTTCCCAAAGGGGCCTGAAGAGCGCCTGCCCCTGCTGCCTCCCCGACACAGACACAGCAAGCCTCTGTAGGGATTTAGGGCCCTTTGTCCACATCCCCACCTCAACTTTTCTGTCTCAGGCTTAATCAGCCAGAACCACCCCCCACCCCTTTTCTGACTGCCTTGCCGTGTAACCCTGAGCACTGACCGACCCCACCCACACCCCAGCCTCAGTAGCCTTCCCGAGAGCAGGGGGCCTGAGACCACTCCTGCTCATGCTCTGCAGGGCCCAGTGTAAAACGGGATTTTACGAAAAGGAATTTGGAGTCTGTTGCTCGAAAGGCAGGAAGGAGGTGTCACGTAAGGTACTAAAATATAAAGCCTTTCCTTTCTTTTATGATCTCTCTCTTGACTTGCCGACTTGCCGTGATGTTTTTAATTTGCTACTTAATGTCATTCTGAGCAGAGGAGTACTTAAAATCTTAATTATTAGCATGAATTATGCCATTCATTCTATATCATGCAGTGCCACTTCTAAATGCAAATATAGGAACATTTAGCTCACATGTGGGATCACCGAAGCTACATAAGTCACGTTTCTTAGCTTGTACGTGGATATGTGTTGTGTTCCGACCAGAACGGTGGAAATGTGGCCCCGAGCTAACTCAGCTGTTTGTATTTCACTTCTTGATACGTGCACGTTCTACCAGATCTGTCTGCTTTCAGCTTACTGGTGAGCGGGAAGGGCTGGAAGGAGAAGGACAGATCGGTTGCCTCTTTCCCTTTCCTTCCGTAGCATCATCGTTTGCAGTGTCAATGGTGGGATCATACAGGGCAGTAACATGATAAGGGTTCCTCGATCATTTGTGTTCCTTAGAACACCATTGCCTTCTTGATGCATTTCAAGCAAATTCTAGTTTGAACCCAAAGTGTGGCTTACGGGCCAGCCAGTGCCCACCACCCCACTCTTTACTCAGTCACAGATGTACACTCACCTGTATTCACTTTGGGCCTTGAATTTCCACACATAGAGGGTCCACCAGAATTCTGTGCTCATGGCCATCGCAAACACGGTGTGTGAGGGGCAGCAGGGACGGAGCAGACACATGTCGTGATGTTGTGTGTATCACCTCTGCTCGCATGCATGTTCCATTGTCCCATCAGACTTCACTTACAAGACACAAGTTCAAAGAGAAAATCGTTAAGAATTTCAAGATGGCAACAGCAGAGCATCATACCAAGTGCGGGGCCTTATGTGACTGCCGGGTCGCACACCTGTGAAGCCAGCCCTGCGTGCTGGCATCCTGTATTTGGGGGACTCTGTCACTCGCAAGTCCCCTCTGTTCCTCATGCCCCCTTTTCACTGTGTAGCCTGGGATGGCCTGGAATGGAGGCAGGTGGAGGGAGGGAGTGTGGTCAGCTCATCCAGCCTCACCACTGCCTGCTTCCTCCACCAAACAGCCAAACAGAACCTTCTACACTTTCCCTAAGTAAACCCTGCTGTCTGCTGCCTCTGGGCCTTGGCCTGTTGTTTCCTCTACCCCAGCTGTTCTCAGAGTTGTGGTCCCTGGGTCAGCAGCATCAGCATCAGCTGGAGCTTGTTAGAAATGCAGATTCCTGGGCGCCACCGCAGACTGGCTGAGTCTCAAATACTGGGATGGGGCCGAAGAATCTGGTCTTCAGCAAGCCCCGGGCATGACTGCGACACACCGCTGCTCTTCCTGAAATACTGTTCCCACCGCATTGCAGCTTCCTAACTCCTATACCCCTTTCACTGAATAAACCCCTCACCCTCGGTTCTCTTCTATGAATTCCTCAGCTCACATCTCGCCTGGTGAGCTTGGGGGTGTTTCTGTCTCATTCTCCATCTTGTTCTGAGTACTGAGCAGGGCAAACAGCACACGATAAGCGATGGTGGAGTTGCATTGACTCAGGGGGTGACTGAGGGAGTGGAGACATGGGACCTGGGCTTCACAGAGGGTCTGGGCTCGAGGGGCAGGGCTGAGCACAGACGTCCCGTCCTGCAGGTACAGCCTGTACACCCGCACCTGGCTCGGGTACCTCTTCTACCGCCAGCAGCTGCGCAGGGCTCGGAATCGCTACCCCAAAGGCCACTCCAGAACCCAGCCCCGCCTCTTCAATGGTGAGCTCTGGCCACGCCGGGCCAGCATCGCCCCAAGCCGTGGCCACCCTCCCAGCCTACTCCCCATCTCATACCCCCGACTGCTGGGCTGCCCGCCCCATCACCCCGCCCACAGCCCATCTTTGTTCCTCAGGAGTGAAGGTGCTTCCTATCCCCGTCCTCTCAGACAACTACAGCTACCTCATCATCGACACCCAGGCCCGGCTGGCTGTGGCTGTGGACCCTTCAGACCCTCAGGCCGTACAGGTGAGGGGAGGATGGGGTTGGGGGTACCTGGGGTCACCTTGAGGACTGGCAGCTTCTCCTTGCTAGAGAGAGGCTGACCCTGCCCTCTGCCAATGCGATGTGCCCCTCTCCATGTGCACTCACACACAGACCCTGACACACATGTGCACAAAGAGACCACCACCATGGGGAGGGGCTCAGTGTCAGGGCATGGCGGGGGGAAAGGGGGAGGGCAGCAGTGGGGGAATCAGAGCCAGAGGGCAAGTGGTGCTGACCCAGGACTGCGGGTCTAGGGAGTTTTCTTCCGCCTCTCACTCTCTGTGGCCCCCTTTCTGACCCTCGCTCTTCTCTCCTCGCCTCTGTCTGTCGTGTCTGGGTGTCTTTATCATTCCCTCTTGTTACTTATTTATCTGTGTGTGCGTGTGTCTGTGTGTCTACCCGCTCCACGAATCTCCCTCTCGCTTATGCCCAGGCTGGGGCTCAGCTGCCCCCCTTTACCCGGCCCTCTCTTCCCCACCCGCTTCTCGTTCTCTGGCTTCATCGCCTCCTTCTCCCTCATCTCTCCCTGCTCGCCTCTCCTCTCCGCTCCTCTCCACCCAGCACCCATGCCCCTGTTTCCCTCTGCATCCTGTTCCTTAGTCTCACTGCCCCCTCTCTCCTCTAGGCTTCCATTGAAAAGGAGGGCGTTAACTTGGTTGCCATTCTCTGCACCCACAAGCACTGGTAAGGGGCTGAGGTGGGAGGTCTGGGTGCAGATCCTCTTCCCTGGCTGGCCCCTGCCCCGGCTGGGCTTGCCAGGACTGGGTCCCGCGAGAACAGGCTGGGCTGAGAGTCAAGAAGTCAGTATGGGTGGACACCATCCTCATGAAGTCACTGGGGCACCAGCAGAGAGGGAGGGGGAGGGGCGGGTGTGCCGGGCATGGGCAAACCTTGTGATCTCTAACATCAAGGAGCTTATAGTCCAATAGGAGAGACAGCCCTGTATGGAAGTGTACAGCGATGACAAACAGTAACAACTGTGACAGTCGGCACAGGGTACGGGGGCGGGGGCACCAGGGAGGGTGTGATCAGATCCACTTGGAGGAATTAGAGGCTGATGACCCTGGAGGTGAGAGGCCAGAAGATCAGTTGGCATTAGTTGGTGATGAGGGGAGGGGTGGCAAGTTGTTGGGACAACATTCTGGGCAGGGGGACAGCTTGAACTAAGGCCAGAAGAGGTGTGGACAGCTTGGTTCAGTCCAGAAGCCAGGAGTCCCATGGCTCAGAGACCTGGAGACGCTTGGGGAAGAAGGAGGCAGGAGGCCCAGTACAGCTGCCCCTTAAAGACCCTGCCTGTGCCATCCTACAGGGATCACAGTGGAGGGAACCGTGACCTCAGCCGGCGGCACCAGGACTGTCGGGTGTATGGGAGCCCTCAGGACGGCATCCCCTACCTCACCCAGTAAGTCCTTGACCCAGGGATGGGATGGCCCTTGTGGGCCCTTCCCCTCACCCCCCATCCTTTAGTCACATGTTTCAGGGGTGTCAGCAGGTGGGTCTTTGCTGATGCCCTTCCTGGCCCTTAGAGAGTAGATCACAGCCCATCTGAAGACTGCCACTGCCCATCCCCCAAGTGATCCAGCCATAGTCCCCAAAAGAGAAAGCAGGAGGGCTTGGGTCTGAAGTCCTGGGCACTGGGGGTGCCTTCTCTCTCTGGTGGGGAAGCCCCCCTCCTGTACATCACCCATTCCCTTGGGCCTGGGCAGGGCGGGGGAGGGAGGATCAGCATGGCACAAGCTCTAGAGCCTTCTCTCCACTATTGCTTCGCTTCTCAGTCCCCTGTGTGATCAAGATGTGGTTAGTGTGGGACGGCTTCAGATCCAGGCTCTGGCCACCCCTGGCCACACACAAGGCCATCTGGTCTACCTGCTGGATGGGGAGCCCTATAAGGGTCCCTCCTGCCTCTTCTCAGGGGACCTGCTCTTCCTCTCTGGCTGTGGTGAGTCCCCCAAAAGGGAAGAGGGAGGAGGGGGAACAAGAGGGAGGGAGAGAGGCCAGAGCAGGGGCCCAAGGACAGCCACAGCTCCACGCAATGCATGAAAACATTGGTTTCAGTACACATGTTGCCTCGGCAGTTACTCCCACCTTTGTTACCTCGATTTTTCTTTTATATCCTCACGACTTCCCGCGGGGGATGGACAGAATGAGACGATGCCTGTAACTGAGTAGAGACCTCGAAGGGCGTTTGTTTCCACTGGGTGGAGCCTGGTTCTCTGATACAGTGACTGGCAAAACTAGTTACAAAAACTTGAGAACCCCTGAGTGAGAGGGGCCAGGGCCCTCCTGTCGGTGGGAGGATCACAGGTCCCAAGGTGCATGGAGTCCCAAAGACAGCACAGGCGAAGAAAGAAGTGCTCTACGGAAAAGAGCAACCCTCTATCAAGAGGGCTTGGAGCCGTAGAACTCAGCCTGAAGGTCCTGCAGCCCCTCTATCCACACGTCAATATGTGCAATGGAGGCCTTCAAATGGGCTCGGTTGCGGTTGAGTATTTGGGCCCAGCTCCCAGAGGGAGGGAAGGAGTAGATGCCAGGGAAGTGGGCATGGCAGGGGCACGGCTGAGGGCTGGTGGCCAGCCCCAGCTGTACAAGCTGGTCCCCACCCTTTTCATGTACCTTACCGTGCTGTGTGGTTCTTGGACCTTACACGTACCTTCTGACCCTGCCAGGACGGACCTTTGAGGGCACCGCAGAGACCATGCTGAGCTCACTGGACACCGTGCTGGGGCTGGGGGACGACACTCTGCTGTGGCCTGGTGAGGTGCCCCTCCCTCTCCTCCTAGCCCCTCACACCCCCAGAGTCCCAGCCGACTCAGCTCCTGGCCCAGAGGGGATACAGCGCCACCTCTGGAGGCTCCTGGGAGCCAACTCTAGCAGTGGGGGCAGAGCTCCCTTCTGTTTGCAGAACTGGTTCTGTAAGGCCTCTGCTTCCCTGGCAACCAGCCCACAGCCTCTTGGGAGCCCTGTAGGTCCCAGAGCGTCCCTGGGAGATGGCTGATTTTTCATAGCCAAAGCCTAGAGCAGAAAATTGCCTTTGCTTAACGAGCAAAGAGGGGCCTTAACTCCATTCTGCATGGACCATTGCCTGCATCCATCATCCACACACTGCACATCCATCATGCATACGCACGTACATGGAATATCCATCCATCCACACATATGTGCATGTGTACATTGCATACCCATAGTTTCTAAAACACATTTACTCATATCTCAGTTAATCCTCAGAACATACATGCATCCATTCATTCATTCGACAAATACTTTATTGAGCACCTAACGTGTACCAGGCCCTGTTCCAGGCCCCAGGAACACATAGTTTTCGAGTGGCGTTATTATTTTCCCCACTTGCCAAAGGAGAACATTGTGGCTCAGAGAAGCGCCGTGATTTGACTGATGTCGCACAGCTGGGCAGAGCCAGACGGGCTAGAATGCAGGTCTTCTGGCTCCAGGTCTGGTGGTTTTCCCCCCTGAACTGCTTCTGCCTCTTCACTCGTGGCTGACTTGTGCCCACATTTAGAGAAACAGCTCCATGTGGTCGGGGCTCCTCTGGAAGCATTGCCCCTCCTCCCCAGCCGTCAGGTACCCATAGGCCTGCAGGTGGGGAGGACTTTTTCTGACCGTACCACCCATCTCACTCTGCCCTGTGTCTTGGCCCCCATGCCATCCCTAGGCCACGAGTACGCGGAGGAGAACCTGGGCTTTGCAGGCGTGGTGGAGCCCGAGAACCTGGCCCGGGAGAGGAAGATGCAGTGGGTGCAGAGGCAGCGGATGGAACGCAGGAGCACGGTGCGGGGCTTGGGGTCCAGGAGGGGCCGAGGGCACTCCTGAGAGAGGGCTCATCCCTGCGGGCCCTGCAGGGCCCCCTCCAGAGCTGACATATTTGGCACAAGGGCCTTCCAGTGAGAACTTCTGGACCCTGGGATGGGGCGGTGCGGGCGTTCTTCCCTTGTTGGGTCTATTTTCCAGATTCTCCCCACCAAACCCGGGTGCCTCTCCCCCCACAGTGCCCGTCCACCCTGGGAGAGGAGCGCTCCTATAACCCATTTCTGAGGACGCACTGCCTGGTGCTGCAGGAGGCTCTGGGGCCAGACCCAGGCCCCACGGGAGACGATGGCTACTCCCGGGCCCAGCTCCTGGAGAAGCTCCGCCAGCTGAAGGACCTACACAAGAGCAAGTGACCCCACCGCAGCCCAGCCCAGCCCCCCCCCGCCCCCCCCACCATGGTGGGGAAGCCACCCACCACGGCCCACACCACACCTTCCCTCTCACTGCTTCCACCACCACCTCCGTCAGCCCGTCAAGCCGGCACCACGCCCTGACCCGGGTCGGGAGAGAGGAGGGACAAGGCAACGAGAGCCTGAGACCGAGAGGAAGGGGGCTGACGGGAGGCTTGGAGACTCCGTGGGGTGAGGCTGAGCCATGGAGGGCAGAGCTAATCGGGAACCTCCCCTCCTCCCTTCCTCTGTTCCCGTGATGGCAGTGAGGATGAAGAGGCCTCACTCTCACTGTCGCCTCTGAACTCAGGGCAGCAGGAGCCATGAACAGGTTGAGTCCATCTTCCCCCTCCTCCCATCCAGGGTAGGGAAAGAAACTCACTCCCTCAAAGTGGCCTGAGGCGTGGTGCCTTGGAAAAGTGGTCACTCAGAGGGGCACCTGGGCTCTGGTTTACTGAGAGTCTGCCCCTCCTCCCCCAGCCTCCCTGCTCCACCTCCACCCGGCCCCCATGAAGGCATTTTTCAAACAGAGCCATTTCTGAGAAAGAGGAAATGGCTGGAAGCCTGGCTGTGGACAATCTCTGCCTCGGTGACTCCCCTACTGCCTGGAAGGCGGAGGATCCTGGTTGCCAAGGAAACTTAACCTCAGGCTGAGGAGACACCAGGAGGCTGGGATTGCAGCCCCACAGTCTTGTAGGTCACACATGCTCCCTGCACAGCTGGCCTCTGCCCCTGCCCTGGGCCAACAGGGCCCCTCCTCCCCAGGGGACCAGAGAGCCATCGTCCACCAGGGCAACTCTGGTTTTCTCATTATGGCCCGTATTCTGAGGACCTCCTGCTTTATCCTCAACCCTTTCCTCTTTTAGTTAGTAAAGCCATTCATCTCGCCCTTTACAGTTGGCCAAAGACATTCCCAGGTCATTTCTCATTTGGCCCCTGGCCCCATCATGGTGGGAGCAGGGGATCTGTGCAGCAGAGAGCAGAAATCAGAAGTCCAGGAGCGGAGAGCTCTCAAATGAGTGGCAGCTTCCAGGACCCCAAGCCTGGGCCCTTCCCCTCTGTTCAGCCCTCCCTCAGTTCAGCTCCTCCTCTGGCCTTGGGTCCAGTCCCTTTGGGGCTGCAGTGAGGACTCCGATTGTCCTCAAGCGGGCGTAACTTGGGTCAGCCAGGAACCTTCTCTTCCTGGGTGGAAGCCTTCCTTCCCTCAGGCTCTGCTCTCCTCTGGGGCGCCTCTGAGATGTCTCCTGCTCTCAGTTTCTCCTCATCATCCTGCCTCTGCCTTCCTCTCCAGCCACAGCCTCTGGAGCCAACTTTAGCAATACCACCAGAATAGAGCTCCCCGCCCCTCAAAACATGCAGTTCATGCCTCTGTGCCTTCGCTCATGCTGTTTCATCAGAATGGAATGCTATTACCCTGCTCCTCCTGCCTTGTCTGCCTGGCAAACACCTATTCGTCTCTCACAATCCCCCTCAAAGGCCCCCTCCTCCAGGAAGACCACCCCTGTGTCCCTCCCCCTCCAGGCTACCTCTCCTCTTTGTAAATGCTTCTGTTGTGGCACTTATCATACTGTATTTTAGTTGTTTACATGTTTGTCTCCCCTTCTAGACTGTGAACCTTTCAGGGCATGGACTGTATCTTATGCATCTCTGTATTTCTGCGCCTAGCACGGTGCCTGGCACACAGTAGGCGCTCAATAAATGTTGAATGAATGAATGATTTAACCGAGGCTTGATCCCTCAGTGGGCTTGTCTTTATTGCTTGTTCCGTTTTCCTGTCTGGGTTACTTGCTTACTTGGAGTGACTGCTCTTCCAGAGCTTTGGGCAGAAACGGCGCTCTAAATATACCCTTCCATGGTTCGTGAGCATATATCCAGGGTTTACAATTTGCCTACCTCGGTGTTTTCCAAAGCTTGAGATGAACAGGAGTGCCGCTGGCCACAGGAGAGATTCACCGCACAGCAGTGAATGTGCTTCGACGGCAAGGCCTTGGTACTGACCTCCCTTTAATGCCTTGCTAACTGACAGCCAGACTCCAGGTCGGCCGTCTAGGGCAACTGTCTTGAGTTAAAGTTTCACAGCATCATTTTGTGTTCATTGTGTTTATCTTTGGGGTCAATATTTTTGACAAGCGACACCAGTTTTCAATTCATGAAAGGATTAAAGGTACAGGCGTATCTCATTTGTGCTTCACTTTATTGTGTTTTGCAGATATTACGTTTCTTACAAATTGAAGGTTTATGGCAACCCTGCATTGTCAGATGATGATTATCATTTTTTTTAGCAATAAAATACTTTTAATTAAGGTATGTACATTGTTTTCTTTAGACATAATGCTGCTGCACACTTAATAGACTATAGTGTAGCAAAGCTCTTATATGCACTGGGAAAAAATTTTTTTGCGTGACTCCCTTCATTGCAGTATTTGCTTTATTACAATGGTCTGGAACTGAACCTGAAATATCTCCAAAGTGTGCTTGCATTTACTGAAATAGGAAAATACGAAGTAAAGGTGACACTTGGCTACGGCAGAATTCTTTTTTTATGTTTATTTGGCTGCGTTGGGTCTTAGTTGCCGCAGGCAGGCTCTCTGGTTGTGGCACTCAGGCTCCAGAGTGCGTGGGCTCTCTTGTTGAGGTGCCCAAGCTCAACAGTTGCGGCGCGTGGGCTTAGTTGCCCTGTGGCATGTGGGATCTTAATTCCCTGACCAGGGATCGAACCCACGTACCCTGCATTGGAAGGCGGATTCTTAAACACTGGACCACCAGGGAGGTCCCTATGGCAGAATCCTTAAAGGTGGCCTTGGTGTGGCTGAAGACTGGGAAGCACCGGCTTAGCTCCACATTTCCTGGGCCCCCCCGGCCACAGCTCAGCCTCCCCTCTTGGCACCCCTCACCCCAAGCCAAGGACCTTGGCACTGGTCCTCACTATCCTGGCTCAGGGCTGCATCTGGGGTGGGGGTGAGGGAAGGAGCCGTGGGCCTCACCTTCCTGAAAAAGGGCAGCCTCTGTGCTCTGTAATTGTCTCTTGACTGGGCAAGCCCCAGGGCCAGGTCACTCTGGGTATGCCCAGCTTCAAGGGACAATTGCTAATGGTTCTCTAGGGCTTTTGGTGAAGCATTTTCCCAAGGCCTTGGCGGATCGTCTCACTGGAGCATCTGTCCTGAAAAATGGCACATGTCTCTCCTGGAGCCAGCACTGACCAGCAATAACCGGGACACCTATTCTTTGCTTGCAGAACAGCAGGAGTGACAACTGGCCTTAGAGACCTGGGTTCTAGTCCCAGCTCTGTTACTCAACATCCAAGGACCTTGGGCAAGTAACTTTCCGGACCTCAGTTTCTTCACCTTCCAGTGGAGATGACAACGTTGAATGAGACATAACCCTTTCAAGTGCAAGTGACAAACACGCAGCCGAAAGGGGCTTAAACCAAAAGGGAAATTTATCAGGTCATGAAATTGAGAAGTGTAGGATTATGTCATGGTGATTCAGGCATGAATGGATCCAGGGATCCAGAGGCATCTTCATCATTCAGCTCTACTTTCTTCTATATTGATATCGTTCTCTGTCAGTCTTTCTCCCTGTAATGGAAAGATGGTCTCTAGAAGTTCCACGTTTATGGGCTATAGTTCATCAAACATAGCAGAACCTCTAATAGCCCCAGGGATTGAGTTTCATTGGTTCAGCTTGGATTATGTGCCCAATGCTGAGCCAATCATAGGAGTTAGGGGAATGGTCTTCTTTGACTGGCCAGGTTAGGTCACGTGACCACACCTGGAAAGGCAGTGTCAGACCCAGCTGAAACACAGTGCACTGAGAGTGGGGAAAGGGTCCCCCAGAGGAATAGGGGGCCTGATACCAGAAATGATGCAAGGCAGCAAACTCATAAACTTTCACCAACAAGGCCACTTATTTGGAGGCTATTAGAACAGTTAGACGAGAAAGACATATGAAGTCACTTTGGAAAACACTACATGTGATTTCTGGTGCCCTAATTCATTATAGAGAAGAAATGGAGGTAGACACATGGCCTCAAAGGTGTTTGAATAATACGTAGTTTAAAAAATAACCTGGGGGTTGGGCTTCCCTGGTAGCGCAGTGGTTGAGAGTCCGCCTGCCGATACAGGGGACACGGGTTCGTGCCCCGGTCCGGGAAGATCCCACATGCCGCGGAGCAACTAAGCCTGTACGTCACAACTACTGAGCCGGCGTGCTGCAACTACTGAAGCCCGTGTGCCTAGATGTAGCCCGTGCTCTGCAACAAGAGAAGGCACCGCAATGAGAAGCCCGTGCACTGCAACAAAGAGTAGCCCCTGCTCGCCACAACTAGAGAAATCCCATGTACAGCAAGGAAGACCCAAGGCAGCCAAAAATAAACTAATTAATTAATTTAGAAAAATAATAATAACCTGGGACTTCCCTGGTGGCGCAGTGGTTAAGAATCTGCCTGCCAATGCAGGGGACACGGGTTCGAGCCCTGGTCCGGGAACATCCCACATGCCACAGAGCAACTAAGCCTGTGCGCCACAACTACTGAGCCTGCGCTCTAGAGCCCGCGTGCCACAACTACTGAAGCCTGTGCGCCTAGAGCCCATGCTCCACACAGGAGAGGCCACCGCGGTGAGAAGCCTGTGCATGGCAACAAAGAGTAGCCCCCGCTCACGGCAACTAGAGAAAGCCCACGTGCAGCAATGAAGACCCCACGCAGCCAAAAATAAATAAATAAAATAAATAAATTTATTTTTTAAAAAAATCCTGTAAGCAGTTCGTTTTTCCCTGAATCACAGGCTGTCTCTCTCTTTTTTCTAAATCACAGAAAAGGAGAAAGGGAGGGGCAGCCTTAGAAGTTCCCAGGAAGGACAGAGAACAGGATAAGTTGTAGAAGAGCCCTGTGTGTCCACATGTGTGTGTTGGTGAGGGGTTGTCCTAGTCCTCCCAGGCCCTGGCCACAAATGGAGCTTTTGAAAGCAGGTGGGAAGCTAACCCTGATGGTCAGTAAACCCTAAGCTTGGGCCAAAGGCAGGACAAGGTGGAAGAAAGAGAGAGGACTTGCACTGGTCTGGATTTGAATACAAACTCTGACACTCCGTGGGTAACTCCAGACATGGGACTCATGTCACCGAGCCTCCTTCTGGAGTGGCTGGGAGACCCAAATGAGATGCACAACGGTGTTCAGTGAACAGCAGCCTCTTTTTCCTCTCACTCTTATTAATAAACTTAGTGCTAGCCTATCAGGGACAGTAGGACAAAGTGATTAAGAACATGGACTCAAGCCAGCCCATCTGGGTTGGAGTCCACACCTTCCACTTATTAACTGGGTGACCTCGGACAAGTTACTGAACTCTTCTGTGCCTCCACTTCTCCCCTGTCCAATGAGGATGATGCTAACACCACCTTAGAAGCTGATTGTGAGGATTAAGTGACTTACTACCTGCAGAGCTCAGCATAGAGGGTACCCTCTCTACGGTAATGGTTGTTGTTCAATAGATGCCAACCCCAGCTGCTGGAGGGAACATGCTGTCCATGTCACAGGCTCAGAAAGGCGTACCTAGCCAACACAGCCACACGGCTAGTACGTCAGCCGCTCCAGAGCATCCTTCCCCTGGCGTATCAGGCCCTAAGGGGGGATGGTAAGAAGGGTCCTTAACAGATCTCTTCCAGATGGTTAAAAAAATAGACAACCAACTGGATGTTGATCCTTCTGTGATCCACTTTTCCAAAATGCTTTCTCCTCTAAGCAGCTAGCAGGAAACGGCCAGCATCAGGCAGGAAGGAATCTGGGGGGAGTGAGAGAGTTGAGAACATGGGCTCCCAGGAGGTGGGAGCCTGTGTGGATAGGCAGGTGGGGGCCCTATGCATCTAGAGGAGCCTGACCAAGGGGAGGTGAGGGGGACCAGGGGTGACAGGAGAACTCTAAAGTGTAGAGGGCTCAGGGAGCAAATTTTCCCTCAGGCCAGGAGTCCGGAATAGCTGGGATGGGGGGGCACAGTAAGGAGGGGGACTATGTGGGCACCGCTTATAGAGCATCTAAAAAAGAGCAGTTTGCTTCTTGGTTTTTTTTGGCCATAAGGCCTGTGAAAACTTAGTTCCCAGACCTGTGATCAAACCCGCGCCCCCTGCAGTAGAAGCGCGGAGTCTTAACCACTGGACCGGCAGGGAAGTCCCTGCTGCTTTTTTCTTTTTTTAAACTTTGTCCAAATCAAAAAGATTTTGTTAAACTTTATGTAATTCACATATGAAAGCAAAACGGTTTGCTTTCTTCTCTTAGATTTTATTTAAAGCATCTATTTTTTATTAACTTTATTGAGATATAATTTACCTACCACAAAATTCACCCTTTTAAAGTATACAATTCAGTGGGTTTTAGTATATGCACAGTCTAATTTTAGAACATTTTCAGCATGCCCAAAAGAAACCCTGTCCCCAGTGGATGCCACTCCCTGCCTCCATGCCTCCACCCTTCCCCCACATCGAGCAACCACTGATCTACTTTCTGTCTCTATAGATTTGCCTGTGCTGGACATTTACACATATAAATGGAATCATACAATATGTGGTCTTTTGTGACTGGCTCCTTTCACTCAACATATTTTCAAGGTTCAACCATATTCTAGCATATGTCAGTACTTCACTCCTTTTTATGCTTGAATAATAATATTCCATTATATATATATACACCACGTTTTGTTTATCCATTCATCAGTTGATGAACAGATGGGTGTTCCACTTTTTGACTATTCTGAATAATGATGCTATGAACATCTGTGTATAAGTTTTTTATGTGGACAGATGTTTTCAATTCTCTTGGGTATATACCCCAGAGTGGAATTGCTAAGTCATATAGTAACTCCACATTTAGCATTTTGAGGAACTAACAGACTACTTCCCAAAGCAGTTGTGAGTTTTCTTCTTTTTTTTTTGCGGTACGCGGGCCTCTCACTGCTGTGGCCTCTCCCGCTGCGGAGCACAGGCTCCGGACGTGCAGGCTCAGTGGCCATGGCTCATGGGCCCAGCCGCTCCGCGGCACGTGGGATCTTCCCGGACCAGGGCACGAACCCGTGTCCCCTGCATTGGCAGGCAGACTCTCAACCACTGCGCCACCAGAGAAGCCCTAGTTGTGAGTTTTCTTAATGCCACTGGCGGTGGTTCACGTGCAGAATTCATTTTGGCTTTTAAAAATTAGAAGTCAGCGCTTCCTTGGTGGCGCAGTGGTTAAGAATCTGCCTGCCAATGCAGGGGTACACGGTTTAGAGCCCTGGTCCAGGAAGATCCCACATGCCGTGGAGCAACGAAGCCCGTGTGCCACAACTACTGAGCTTGTACTCTAGAGCCCGCAAGCCACAACTACTGAGCCCAAGTGCCACAACCACTGAAGCCCGCGTGCCTAGAGCCTGTGCTCCACAAGAGAAGACACCGCAATGAGAAGCCTGCACACCACACGAAGAGTAACCCCTGCTCGCCAAAACTAGAGAAAGCCTGAACACAGCAACGAAGACCCGACACAGCCAAAAATAAAAATAAATAAAATAAATAAATTTTAAAAAAATTAGAACTCAATTTCTTAAAATGCAAATTTTAAAACATAAGCATTTTAAAAACTTTTAAGTTCAACTTAGTCATATCATTCTAATCATAAATCTATCTAATGTTATTACTAACTTTTAAGGGGGCTTTAATTAATAATTGGTTCTCTTTACAAAATTAAAACTGCCATAAATATGTTTATGCCATATTTATTCATTCTATATATTGTACTTCCTTTTTAAAAGCAATTGATTGGGTTTTTTTGGCCTCGCCATGCAGCATGCGGAATCTTAGTTCCTCGACCAGGGATCAAGCCCTTGCCTCCTGCGGTGGAAGCGCAGAGTCTTAACCACTGGACTGCCCAGTGGCAATTGCAATTGTCAAAAGCGATTGACTGGGAAAAATAAGTAAAAATAATTCTCTAAAAGAATTTTTTAATAAATTGACAAACCAGCTTCCCAAGTACTTTTAATGCAATCTAAGAAACGTAAACATATAAATATAGTAAAATTTAAGGTTTTTAAAAAAATATTTTGGTTCTACTTACAATCCCAGTAAGAATTGAACTTCAAAGTACACTTGTAAGGTCATTCTAATGATCCATGTCATCCCCCCTGCCTCCTAAGAATGTCAAATGCTCCCTCTGCTGGACAATACCTCAGGCTTGGGCTGAGCCGCAGAAGCCACAGTTCCTACCAATTCTTCCAAGGTCTGGGTGTTTAGTGAAATGGGTTGATGGCCCTTTAAGAGGCGGTAGCTAGCTCCCAGTTGCCATGGAGACAGCTGGTTACAAACTGGGTAGCAGGAGGCAGCATGTCTTCCAAAGTTCAATCCAAAGGTGAGAAGAGAGCTGAGGAATTTGGAGTGGGGACCTGGAAAGGGGTGGGGCATCTTCTCCCTCATCATCCACCCTGGGGTGGCCTTGGAGGATCCTGCTCTTGGGACCCCTGCCCCACCCCTGTCCTTCTTCCCAGGGTCTGCCATCTGCCGTCTCAACCTCTCCTCCCTCCCTAGGCTTCAAAGCCAAGGATCACCAGCCCTCAGCCCAAGAGAGTCTGCCACCCCCAGAGGCCAATGCTGAAGCCATCAACTTCCTCAACTCCCTCCGTGAGCCTGGGCAGTGGCGGGGCGGGGGGGGGGGGGGGGGCAAAAGTACGGACGGGAGGGAGGAGAGAAAGCCCAGACCTGGCCACCCCCTCTCTCAGCCTTGATTCTCCTGGGACTCACAAAGGGTGTGAGGCCCGTTAGTTGATATTCTTCAAGGGAAGACCCCAGGGACACAGTGTGGGTAGGGACTGGTGGGGATTGGGGTGGGGGAGCCTTCACCTGCTGACTGCTGTAGAGGCCAATGGAGGGGATGCAGGGGCCACCTGGGGGACGTGGGATGAGGAGGGAGTGGGTGGAGACTGTGGGCGCACTGGTGGCCGGGGGGGGGGGGGGGGGGGGTCCGAAAGTTGAGACCTAGGAGCTGGAGCTGGGGCTTTAACTGTCCCCACGGGACCCTCACGCACCCAGGGCAGGAGGAGCTGCTGACGCTATTCTTCTCGGAGACTCTGGTCATGGTCTCCGACACAGGGGAGCCTCAGGGAGAGCTGACCATTGAGGTGCAGAGAGGGAAATACAAAGACCAGTTTGGTGTCACGGAGTACTTCCCATTTGTGCATGCCTTTAGCCACGGCTCCATGGACAAAATACCCTGCGGAAACTCCATTCTGGGTAGAGTTCCTGCTGCCTGACACCCTCTACCCCCACCATTCCTCCACTGCCCTCCCCCTCCCACCCCCCAACTCCCAGGACCTTCACTCAGGACCAACGCTTTGACTTCACCTTGGTACTAGAACGAGGCAAAGAGAGTGCGTGGGACATGGGGGTGGGGGGGTGACAGGGAAGTTAATCACAGCCTTAGTTTTTCCCTCGGGCCACCCTACATCTGAGTCCTCCAGCCCAGGCCACCGCCTCCCTTCCTGCAAACTCCAACCTTGTCTCCGGTGACAGCAGTGTTCACCTCCTCCCCACAGGCTATCTCTCGTGGAAACTGGAGGTTGTGGAAGAACATAATAAGGAGTTCATCAAGGTACCTCCTGGGGCCCCAGCCTTGACCACATATGGAAAGTTTTCTATCCAAATTTCCCCTCAGTTTTCTCATTTATGAAGGAGAAACGACAAGGCGACCTCTGGGGGATCTCGCTCGTATATACGATCCCGTGAGTCCCTGGTTCTCCCCTCCATGCTCTGGCCCTTAGTTCCACGCCCTCCCCATGGAACGGAAGATGAGTTTGCTGAAGCAGGATGATCAGCTGGCCATGACCAGAATCATCAAGGAGGGTGAGGTAAGGATGAGAGCCAGGTGGGAGCCATACTCTACATCCTCTTTGGAACCAGGAACAGGGGACAGATGGTGTCAGGCCAGGAGCCTGGACTAGGGACCATATGGACTGGACCATATGCTCAACACCTGTCTTGCACAACCTCCCTCCATTTCCTGGCTCAAGGTCCCTGACCCAGATTTGTCCTGAACAGGAAGTGAAGACCGAAGTGACTTTCTTCCCCTGGCACTCCATTGCGGGCTTCGTCTCCCAGGCTGCCAACCTGGTGTTGCTGAGGGTGATGGCCTGGAGGCAGACAGTGCCCAGCAACGCCCGTTTCCTGGCCTTGGACACCGAGGGCAAACTCTGCTATTCCACTTACGTGAGGGGTTTCCCTGGGTGGGGAATTGGTCTGGGGTGAACTAGAAGGGGCAAGGAGAATGCTGAGTTGGGAGAAAAGACACCTCTGTGGAGTGGAAGAGGGGGTGGAGTGGGGATAAACCTAGGGCGTGGGGGGAGACTTCCAAGAGCAGGAGAAAGCAAGACCGCATTTGTTAGAGGGAGGACCAAGTGTGAGGCAAGTGGCGTGAGCGAGAAGGACCAAAAGCTGGGAGCAGTGGAAGAAAGCAACGCTTTTTGCACAAAAGTCAGTCCAGGAAAAATAAACATCGTAGGGGCCACTTTTTTTTTTTTTTTTTTTTGCGGTACACGGGCCTCTCACTGCTGTGGCCTCTCCCGTTGTGGAGCACAGGTTCCGGACGCGCAGGCTCAGTGGCCATGGCTCACGGGCCTAGCCGCCCCACAGCATGTGGGATCTTCCCGGACCGGGGCACGAACCCGCGTCCCCTGCATCGGCAGGCGGACTCTCAACCACTGAGCCACCAGGGAAGCCCCACAGGGGCCACTTTTAAAGACATATTTTTTTAAGATCAGGAAATGCAACATCTCCAACTGCACTTAAAAATTATTTTATTATGTCTCAACCCTTAAGGGTGTTTCTTATTTTTCTCTTATTTTGGCTAAACTTTCATCATCAACCTACCTAGGACTTCCTGTAATATGTGATTTTGAAGCCATGCCTCTGAACACACACTTTGGGGGCTGATTTGACCAACTTCGTAAATGACACTCTTGTCTTTTCTATCACAAACATGACAAACAGCAACATGTTTGATACAAAGAGGCACATACCATTTCCCCCCAATTTTCTTTGAAATGTTTTTCTTATGTTAGCAGTTTTCTCCCTGTTGCTGTAGCTGTAACAGGGATTTATTTTTTTTTCTAATTATTTATTTATTTTGGCTGCACTGGGTCTTCGTTGCTGCACTCGGGCTTGCTCTAGTTGCGGCAAGCTGGGGCTACTCTGCTGTGGTGCGCGGGCTTCTCTTGTTGCGGAGCACAGGCTCTAGGTGTGTGAGCTTCAGTAGTTGTGGCACGCGGGCTCAGTAGTTGTGGCTCGCAGGCTCTAGAGCATAGGCTCAGTAGTCGTGGCAGACGGGCTTAGTTGCTCCGCGGCATGCGGGATCTTCCGGGACCAGGGCTCGAACCCCTCTCCCCTGCATTGGCAGGCAGATTCTTAACCACTGCACCACCAGGGAAGTCCCCAGGAATTTAAATTTCAATTACAATGGGCAGCTTGCACGGGCCTGAGGCAGCCATAAATCTCAGTCTAGTCCCTCCTCAGCGTCCCACTACCTCCTCCCCACAAATAGCCCAGCCTCCGCCCTCGCCCACACTCACACCTACTTGGTCATCCCTATTACAGAATCTGCCAACTAGAAGCACTTGGTCATGAAGCTGGCATGGGGACGGGTTGGGGCAGGAGCAGGGTGGAGCTGGGTCTCTATGAGAAAACCCCAACTTAACCTGGGGGTGCATCTCAAATCTTGGGGCGCCTAAGGGTCTGGACAGCCAAGGGCTGCTTATCACTGGTGAACAAGCAGTGAAGCTATAACCTGGAGAGAAGGGCCAGGGGGAGATGTGTGGGGAGGCCCCGGTGGGAATCCACCTCACCTCCCTCCCTTCATTTTGGTTGCTGCCAGCAAGGCCTGGGCTCCCAGATGATCCAGGTGGGCCATCAGCAGGTGGAAGCGTTCATTGTGGAGCAGACTGTACACTCGGAACAGGGCATCCCCGTGTCCTGCCAGTTTTACCTGTTCTCTGATGGGTGAGCTACTGACGGTGGGGCAAAAGGGGCAGTACTGAGGACAAGCATGGGAGCTCAACCTCCTGGGCTGGGTCGGGGCAAAGGGAGAGTCCTGTTTCTGAGGACACCACCAGGAAGACTTGCTGTGGAGGTCTGAGTGCCCCTGCTTTCTCCACTCATTCACCCTTTTGCATATATGCATTCATTCTCCCGGTCTTCACAATGCCTCCCAAACCTCACCGAAGAGCCCTGAATGGCTGAGGAAGTCAAGATCAACTCCACAGGGCCTAAGGCGTCGCTAAAGCAGCTGCCACGGGTGTGGGTGTAAAATTGAAAAACACCCAAGTCTGAACAGCTCAGCACTTGATAAAATCAGCAGGCTGGGAGAAGCACCCCAGCACGCTGCCAAGCTGTCGCCAGAAAAGTGCGGGCACCAAATCCTGAGAAAATTCGGGAGGGGGAGAAGCATTTGTTTCTTGAAATTTCCAAAGAGGTATTGACAGAATCACTATAGTAGAAAAAAAAAAAAAGTAATCAGAACGTTGTGGGCTTTCCTTATTTCATAATTTAACTTGTTTCTATTTTGAGTATCACATAGCAGGAGGCTCGTGATTCTTTTTATTTTTTAAAATTTTTTTGGCTACGCCCCATGGCTTGTAGGATTTTAGTTCCCTGACCAGGATTGAAGCCGGGTTCTTGGCAGTGAAAGTTCGGAGTCCTAACCACTGGACTGCCAGGGAATTCCCTTGTGATTCCTTTAGCGCTCACACCTCTAAATTTAGTCTTGCACACGTGCACACATCTCCAGGGTAGGAAGAGTCCCCAGTTTGAAAAGCAGGGGACATTATCTGGGGATCTAGAAATGAACAGGACCCTGGAACTCAAAGACAAGTGGAGGAGGGGAGGAGGGGGACAGCAGTAAAGGGAAGCCCCCAGAACACCCTTCAAAGGAGTGGGCTGGTCTAGGAAGACTCACACCTTCTTCTGTGTTGCACTCCAGGCACCTGGCCAAGAGGATCCAGGTGGGCTCCCCGGGGTGCTGCATGATCACCAAGGTGCCCACCTTGAGGGAGGCAGGTGAGTGAAGCCCCTGGCTGGTGGGAGAGTGAAGGCGAGGTGAGGAAACCTGGAGCCTTCCAGGCTGCATGGGTGGACTGAGTGTGCCATGGCCCCAGATCAGAGCCCGGGATGAGATGGAGAAGTTCCGCTCTCCAGCCCCTGTCTCCAAGGCAATTCAGGGACGATCATTTTGCTGGGAACCCCCTCCAGCAACTTCGCCCATATGGCCAGAACCCTGGGTTTTACCTGAGCC